ATTGAATTTTTGGGTGTAAATTTCCGTGGGTCCCGTTTTTATTACGGAAATTTACGCCCCGAAAAATTTCCTGATGTATAAAGTTATTATTTTCTTCTTTTGGAATAAGAGTCTCTTTAGTGATTACTTTTACATTTGGATATATTTTAATAGTATTCTTTTAATATGTTTTTGCTAATGTTTGAAAATATTTTATGTCTTCTTCTTCAGGTCTTCTTCTAAATCTTAGCTTTTTTATAGTTTCTTTAATTGAAGTGTTTCACAAAATTACTAATACTTCTCTTAATAATCCTTTCCAATACTTATAGTCCTTGCAAATTTCTTTTATATCTTCTTTTTTAAATATACTTCTTTTTTTTTGTTTTTATAAAAAATTTTGTTGACATAGATTTCAGTCTATTAGTATTACATCTGGTTTTTCTTCATGTGCCATATAAATATAAATTTGAGTTATCTAATTATCTCTTATTCACTTTTTCCATTTTATACATCAGGAAATTTTTGGAGACAAAAATATCCAGATATTTTTCAATTTAAAACAAATCTGAATAAATTTGTGAATTTATGTGAATATATTCACGAATTTATGTGAATATATTCATGAATTTATGTGAATTTATTTGAATATTATTCAAATTAATTCATGGGATATTTAATGAGAAATGATACTGAAATTATATTTTTTAATGCTTCAAAAAAACCAAGTATTTATCTCAGGGTTAGGTTAACAAAAACACGTATATTAATTAAAAGTCATGTGACATATCGAACTATATTATTACATGAATGTATTTTTAACCAATGGAAATTTGGTGACAGTAAATCATATTTACGCAACCTTTATTAAACTTGACTCTAGGGGAGTTTTTAATTTTTTACGTGACACATTTTTAAAGCCGATTTTCGTCAATTGTAAATGAAGATCTACATAAACTTTCGTGCCCATAATATCCTTGAAGTTAAAAAATAATTCCTCGGTATGGTATCAAGAGAGACTTGCTTCTAATAGAGGATAATCATTTCATATTACCACTAAAGTAATCCAATCATTATTATTGGTACTATTTACCAAAAGGAATGTAATTTCTAACGTTTATTCTCTTATTTTAAATGGTAGCTCTATACTTTACATGTTGAAATTATATTTGACGATTTTTACATACCGTATTGTTTGCCTTAAAAGTCGAAAACCATAATTCCATAATTATTTGTGGCTTTTACGACATTGTAACTATTTATAACATTAAGACATTAAGGCATTTAAGGCTAGGACTCTGTATATGGCGTAACGTATGTATTTATTTATGACATTGCGGCTATAATTAGGAAAAGACCCAATTAAAGAGATTTTATTATTATTTTATAATTATTATTATCACTCTTCCGAAGTTAATTGTAATAAAAATAATAAATTATATTTTTAAACTTAAAAAGAACGATTGTTACGATGCCACTTTATAAACTACGGCATATGAATAAAATTACGGATATTACGGCACTATGACATTATGAATTTCTATAATAATTACGGCTTAGCCAAAATGTCGTAATTCCTGAATCTCGAAATTAGGCGCATACCTTTTGAAGATCAGAAAATGACGAAAATAATTACGGCAACCGAAATTATTTTAGGTTCGGCAATTATATGCAAAGAATAATTAAGGCACCAACTATAGTTGAGGGAAACTTTTCTACAGACATTGGCAGTAGTCGATACACTTAGCTTAGTCGGATTTTATTCTATATGTAAATTTTTTTACTCGCTATCAAACTTCTAACTTGTCTCATTGGTCCACTTAAATATATTATTATTACTATTTACCAAAATATCAATATCTTATAAAATATAGACTAATTTACGGATTTAACTGAAATAGAACGAATTAACAATAGAAGAAATAAATAAAATAAATTGAGCTTTCGCAAGGTGAGGCAATATGTTAGATGGATATGTTTGATTTTAAATAAATCATAATAGATGTGTTGAACACTTTTATTTAGAGAACGAAAGGTGGCGGTTGACATCAAAAATAAAGTGATCTTTTAATTTTTTTCTCGAAAAATAAAAAGCCATTTCGAAATTACGATGTTCGTTTCTGATCTTAACTAATTTAAGAAAAAAAAAAAGTCAAAAACAATTAGAATATCTAGCATGGATGTAATTTCAGTTTAGATCGCGCCAAAAAAATACCCTTTTGCAAATTGTGTAAATTAATAAAACTTTTTAAATTACTTTTATATTACACAAAGTCTATTAGCACGAATGCCTTTTTAATTTGAAATTAGTTCACATGAAAAACAAACGCTATTCCTTAAATGTATTCTCTAATATATCATTCTTTAAAACGAAATCATCTATATTAAAAAAGGAACTTTGTTAAATAATAATATAAATTTTCCTTCTCTTCAAATATTTATTGGTTCGTCAATCTTAATACTAAACTTTCTGCCTGTCTATTTCAGAAACGGTCTTCTATTATTCGACTTTAATTTCGGAGATCGCGGAGGATACACAGAATGATCACTAATTATAAAGACAAGAAATTCTTTAAAGGATAGTTAATCATATATATTCGCCGAATTTGATTTGCTATAATATAAACGGTTATAATGAATAAAAATATAATTTGTTGTTTATATTGAAGGAAAAAGAATGTATTCATATTTATATTTACATTCAAAAACAAAAAAAAAAAAAGTAAACAAATTAAGTAAGTAAATGAATGAGGGTTCAATTATGAGATAATTTTCATGTTTGAAAATGGATTACACGTACGTTTTACCATATTTCGATATTCATTTTCATTTTAATTTTTTTTTATTATCTCAAAATATTAAATCTTGAGAATCGACTACGTGCAGTCATGGAATCAAAAAATTGTAAATAAAAGATTTGCTATTCCATTCAATCCAATCCGACTTCGTGGTGCGGTAAATTTTCTGTCGATTAAAATTAAATTAAAAACCAGTAAATTAATGCACAATAAGAACTTTAATTTAGAGTATACATATATATACAACCAAGAAAAAAAAAGAATCGAAAATTAGTATAGAAAATTATATATAAATAGAAACCCAAAAAATACTTCCCTTTAGTAAAATAAAGAAAATTTTTTTTTTAAAATATTAAAAATTATCATAAATTTATCAACTTTATCATAAATAATCAAAAAAAAATGTCATCACTCAGAAAAATCGAAAAAATCGAAAAAAAAAATAAAAGACATTCCAAAAGATTATCTTTACATAATTTATTAAACATTGTATTCCCTCAAAAAGTAAATTCTCCATCTCCATTATCACATATTCCCGCGAATTATTTAACTCACGAACAAAAAAGAGAAAAATGTGACGAATTATTTAAACTTGCATCTAATTCGTATAGACGTATGATATCGCAGTTAGATAATGATAAGAGAATCATTATGTCCACTTATTATATCCTTCTTCGAGGAATGGATACTATTGAAGATGATATGACAATTCCCGCCGAAAAGAAAATCACTATTTTAAGAAATTTTTATAAATTGGTTCAACAAAGAGGATGGACTTTTAATAAATGTAAAGTATAATAATAATATATAATATTCAATTAACAAAAATATTTTATTGCATAATTAACTATAATTAACTTATATATTTAATATACTTTTTTATATATAAATTTATATAGGTGGTCCTAACGAGAAGCATCGTCAATTATTAGTAGAATTTGATGTTATTATCGAAGAATTCTTATCATTTAGCCCAGAGTAAGTAATAAAATATTATTAAATATCAATCAAAATAATATTATTCAATATCAAAATAATATTATTCGATATCAAAATATAATTTACTTCACAAATAACAACAACAACAATAACAATAATAATAATAATAATAATAATAATAATAATAATAATAATAATAATAATAATAATAATAATAATAATAATTTATAATTTTATTTCTCAAATAATAGAATACAGGATATTTTTGTTGATGTTGTTAAAGATATGGGTAATGGAATGGCAGATTATATACTCCTTCAAGAAAAATCAAAATATTATGTGATTACTATAGAAGATTATGATAGATATTGTTTTCACGTTTGTTCAATTTTCTGTCTTGGATTTGGAAGAATTATGAATATTTTAAATCCCGAATTACCAGACACCGATGAAAATTATTATTTGTGAGTAAAAAAAAAAAATACACTGTAAATATATGAGTAATGATAATAATAATAATAATGATTTAAATTTATTCTGTGTTAGGATAAAAGACGTATCATTTTTTATACAAAAATTGGATATTATTAAAGATTTTAGAGAGGATTTTCATCAAAATCGAGTATATTGGCCACGAGTGATTTGGAGTCAATATGCGAATGATGTTTCCGAATTTTTAGATCCTAATAATAAAGAACGAGCATTAAAATGTTTATCAGCCATGACTTTTAATGCTTTATCACATCTCATAAATAGTTTGGAATTTTTATCTAAGATTAATGATCCAGTGATATTTGAAATTATAGCTCTGTCAATTGCTGTAGAGTTCGCGTATTTAACTTCGATATTTAGAAATCATGATGTTTTTACTAAGCACGTAACATATCAAGGGATTAATGAGGTAAATTATATATAATTTTCTTATATATTTTTAGATAGATTAAAAAAAAAAAAATTTAGATGAATTTTATATATCTAAATTATATTATTTAAAATTTATATCTAAATTATAAACAATTTTTAGGTTAAATCACAATGTAAAAATCTTAGAGACATATGCATCCTTTTTAAATCTAATGTAAAAACAATAATGAAAAAGAATGATTTAAAAGATTCTAAAAATTATCTAAAAATTAATAAATCTTGTAAAAAGGTAAGCAATCAATCAAGTCAAGTTTTATTTATTATTATTACTTTAATTTATTATTATAAAGTTCGAGAAATTTAATTCAATTTTTCAATTTTTTAGATTGAACAATGGTGCGATAGATATCTTTCTAATAAAATGACCATGTAATCGAATAGATTATTATTAGTAGTATTACATACATTAATTTTTATATTTCTTTTTTCAAAATTATAGATATATATAAAATATATAAAGTGTAATAATAAATTATAATAAAATAAAATATAAAATAAATATATATATATATATATTATTATTTTAATATACAGTAACATATCTCCCTATTCCATTCTCCTTACATTTTATATCTATAATTGGTTAAAATATCTGCAAGTATCGTTTTGAATTAAGGCTTTTATAGGTCGAATTTACCTGGCTTAAAACTTCTTAACTGTTAAATTTTTATTAAGCTAATGATTATAACGATTATAATCAATCTACAAATATATAAAACAAAGATTTAAACGTTAGTCAAAAGTTAAATAATGAAATAATGAAATACTTTTATTTTTTGATGTGGAACGACATTAGAAATATCCGTTTGTGTGTACTAATAGTTTGTCTTGGCAGTTGAACTTCGCGTGCACGCATGAATCCTTTACTTGGAAGATTTTTTTTTTTTCACAGTAAATTTTAATAAAAAACTATGTAATAAAAAACTATGTAATAAAAAACCTAGGGTAGATTTATCTCAAATATTTAAACAGAAATTCTAGTAAAAAAAAAATCTCTGATATAGTGAAATTTCAGAGCATGTCTATATATCTACTGAACAGCTTTACTTGATCGCTCGAAAGTAGTTTATTTTTAAATTTTTTGTTAAAAATATTTCTAAAAGTAATTTCTTTTGGTTAACCCGCAGACTTGTTGACTTATTGACTTGTTTATTTGTTGACTTGTTGACATGTGAATTTGATATCGTGTTCTATATCATTATTATCATTATTATTACTATTATTACTTCATTTTAGAATATCCAAAGACAAATTCGTTCTAAATACGTACTTGAACACGTGTTTTTAAAACAAGTATTTTCAAATTTGGCAATAATGGATGGTAATAATAATTTTGAGGGTACTTTTATTGTGACCTCTTTTATTATTATTTTCAACCAATTAAAGGTTTTTTTTTTTTCATCAATATTTCTCATATTTCTATCATTTCTCTATCGTTTTTTTTTTAGAAATTATATATACATAAAGAAAAATGGCTACAGCTATTATTAATTTTGAATCCTGGCAAAATACGGGAATTCCTAATTTTGAGATACTTGAAGAAATGACGGAAGATATTACATTTAAATTTAGAAAAGCGAGAGAAATCAACATTTCACGAGGTATTAAAGATCAAAATATTGACGTTCAAAGTTCAATATTTAATCAATTAATTAGTAAACGAGCCATGGAATCATTAGGAATAAAAAATTATGCAAGTGATGTAGAAGTATATATGAATTTACTTTCGTCAGACAAAGTTCGAATATCAGATATTAAACAAGCATTAAGAGATTTATTATCAGATGCTCGAAAGAATTTTGAAAGTTTGAATGAATTAAGAATAGAATTTGATAAATTTAAAGTTAATTTTGGGGAACTTTATCGTGATTATTTAACCAACAATTCAATTAATAATATTTCAACCAATTCAATCAATTCAATCAATTCATTTAATTCATCTAATTCATCTAATTCATCTAATTCATCTAATTCATCTAATTCACCTTTGGCAATCACCGATTCAGGAAAATATATCGAATATAATAATAATAATAATAATAATAATAATAATAATAATAATAAAAATAAAAAAAGAAATAAGATTATATCATATGGAAAAAATGCTTTATATTTTTGTATAATCTATTTAATTTTACAATATGGAATTTTTAATAATAATAATAGTCATGCAGTTGATTTAGATAATTCAACAAGTAAGACAAGTTCAATTGATGAAAGTAAAATAATATTTTCAGTAGATATTACAAGAGATAATACAAAAACCGAGGATTCACTAACGCCACATCAAACAGCGAATATTTCCCCAACACAAAATTTATCACCTACAACGGAAACAGAATTTTCCCCAACATCCAATACAATAGAAACAATTACGAAATATCCTCCAAGTCCATCAAGTACTTCCAATCCATCAAATAATTCATTGACTACTTTCAATTCATTAAATAATTCATTGAGTACTTCAAATTCATCAAATTCATCAAATTCAGCAAATTCATCAAATTCATATAATTTCGATAAAGGAAAACTATTTTTTCAAATAATTCCGAATTTAAAGTTTTTTGATTTGAAAGTGGTTTTAATTGCTGCTGGATTATTATTTACTTTTCATAATAGAAATTCAATAATATCACTCTGTAAAAATACTTGGAATGCGTATAAAAAATATAGAAATAATGATAACAATGACAATAATAATAATAATAATAATAATAATAATGAATTCACAAATTATATTATAATTATTATAAGAAAACTTGAATCCATTTCAATAGAATTTGGAAGTTTAAATACTTTCTGGGATCATCAAACCAGAAATATTGACGAAACTCTTACAACGTTAAATTCGATAAATTCAGAAATGGAAGTTAAATTGCCGAATAAAATTGGACAAGATACCAAAGCCATTTGGAATGAGATTTATAATAAATCCTTAAATAATCAACGAAATTTGAATGCGATTGTTACAAAGAATTCTATGCTTGGATTTAATTCATAGAATTTCTTTTCAATAAATAAATTTCTTGGAGGGTTTTTTATTATAATTTTAGGGAGTAAATTCTTTCTATTTATTTAAATTAATATTTATTGATAATATTAATATTAACAATTAAAAATTTCATTTCATATATATATATGTTGTTATTATGTTATTATATAAAGTTATTCCTCACCTGGGTTAAATTTCTCAAATCCTATAAAATTGTCACCATCTGGATTTATCAATTTTTATCGGGGGGTTTTTTTTTTAGGAAAGAAACTCTTTTTGTCACTTGGTAATCAATTATAATCACATGAAAGTATTATTACTCGAGAAGTAATTTTATTTTATTAAATAAATATAAATATATATATATATATATATTTGACTTTATTTGTGAAAACGTTAAGATTAGAGATACAATATTTACATTTTTTAAATATTTTTTTCTTAAAATTCATAAATAATAATAATAATAACAATAACAATAACAATGACACTAGCAATAATAAATAACAACATTACTACTACTTAAATTATATTATTTAGATTTTTAGAATTTTGATATATTACAAAAGAATGAAAGAAAGAAAGAAAGAAAGAAAAAAAGAATGAATGAGCGAGTGAGTGAATGAGCTTGAACGAATGAATGAATGAATAAACAACGTGTTTAAAACATTCTTCGTCTTATATTATACAATACAAGAAATAAATAAATAAAGAATATATTTATCTCGCTCTCACTCATTCACTCACTCACTGACTCACTAGCTCTATTCTAATTATGTTTTATGATATAATAAATAAATTATTTCATACATTCTTCCCAATCAACAAATTTCGGTATTGATGATGATGGTGATTCGGATAAATATTCTGTGTCATCCGAATGTTTTGTATTTCTATTACTACTATTATTACTATTATTTATATTATTATTATTATTATTATAATTATTATTTATTATATTATTATTATGAATTGTCATTGAAATTCTATTTGAGAAATAACTTTCTTCTCCATTTAAATCAAATGTTGTTGATTTATTTTCATCATACCTTGCCATTCCACCCATTCCATTCATTCGACTCATTCTATTCATTCTATTATTATTATTATTATTATTATTATTATTATTATTTTCCTCATCATTCTTATTTTGCTTGTTTTTTCTTTTAACAAAAAATTTTTTACTACTCATATTTGAATAATTTGAATAATTTGAAGTTTCTGAATAATTTGAAGATATTAAATTATGAGATGACCTTTTGTATTTAAAATGTCTTACAATAAATATAATTATAATTATTATAAAACATATTGTGACTATTATTCCTATGATGATAGGTATATAATATGGTGATTTATATGAAAATATATTATTACTACTATTATTATTATTATCAGAACTAATATCACTGTTACTGATACTAGCATGTGAAGTTGTCGTTTGTATAGCAGAAGTAGTTGTGGTATTATCATCATAATCATCGTCGCTGTTACGTTTATTCTTTTTTGAAGAAGAAAACGACGACGACGACGACGACGACGACGAAGTTGATGATTTTCTTAGATTATATCGTAAAAAAGTCATATTTTATTAATTACGCTAGATTAATGTATATTATAGTAAAATCTTATGCGAAATATTTTTAATTATAGTTAGTGAAAATATCTAAGGTAGAATAGTTAATTTTGAGTTTTTTTTTTTCTTTTTTTAGAAATGAATTTTCTTCAAAGAAGTAGTAAAGTAGAAGAAGTAGAAGAAGTAGAAGAAGTAGAAGAAGTAGTAGTAGTAGAAGAACTTTGAACATTCACTGACTTAAAATGATAAAACTTTTTTATTATTAATGATGATAATAATAATGAAATGTTTATAACCATTTTAAAGAAAAGTTTTTTTTTTTTCTTTTGAATGAAAAAAAAAAAATGAAAATGAAAATGGAAAATAGAAAAATGACTAAATTAATAATAATTTAACAAATTAAATGGAATATAGTTTTAAATCTTAATTGTAAACATAAATATGTAAATGTCGTTGTTCTGCATGATTACGTTGATCAAGTTCGTTTCGTTATTTTTAATTATTATATTGTCAAACACAATTTGATGTCGTGAAATTATAACATTGCTCTAAACAAAAAAAAAATCTATAAAACGTAAAAAAAAAACCCCCGGAATTTTGGTTATAAAGTTTTTTTATTTTTCATCATTATCAAATTATTATTACAAAAAAAAATCAAAAAAATCAATGTAGATAGTTGGTACAACTCTCATTTGGCCTTTGTTACAAAGAGTTAGCCTTTTTTCTCGAAAAAGAAATTTATTTTTTTATTTATTTATTTATTTTTTTTTCACACATTTTGCCACGTTGTAGTAGTTGCAGTAAATTTTGTAGTGCTTATTCCTATATTTAGAGATAATAACAAAATTTTTTTTTTTTTAACAAAGGAAAAAAAGAAGAATAATATTATCAATAACATAATACTAATAATGTTCGAAGATCGCAATGTGTATAGTAAACATACTAAATGAGGATATCAGATAAAAATGTTATTCGACAACAAAAGGAAAAAATAATAAAAAATAAGTTTAGAAGAATTATCAAATATTTGGTAAATATTTAATTTCATTTACATTCTTTTCTCATTCATTCATGCATTTATTCATAAATAGATATATACAACAGGCAGGTAATATATTTAAATATGTATATTTTATACGTAACATATTATACATATATATATATATATAAATATATAAAGAAAAAAAAATCTTAATTTCGACTCAATAAAGAGTTTACAATTAAATTTATAAAAAAAATGATAATAAATAAACTGTTAATAAAAAAAATATATATATAAAAAAAGATTAAATAATAAAATATTCAACTTTTAAAAAATTAAAAATCAAGATAAGATATAGTTGTATTGTACGTTAAAATAAATAAATAAATATATAAATTTTTATTCATTCTTCTTTTTGATGTTCAGGTTTATGACTTGTTTCGTAATCAACATGAACAAAAGCTCTTTCAACATTTTCCAATTTTTCTAATTTAATTTGTAAATTTTCGCTTATGTCATGACTTTCCCATAAAGGAGTATCTCTATCCATAACTATATCCATCTCTACAAATAATTTATTACCTGCATGATAAGCTCTACATGTATCAACTTGTAAAACTTTAGGATGATGTGTTATGGCTAAATAAATAAATAAATAAATAAATGAATGAATAAAATAAATAAATATATATTTATATATTTATATATTAAATTATTACATGTATCGATTAATAAAAAAATAATGAAGTTCTTTGTGTTAAAAAATCAACTTACCAATATATGTAGCTCGTTGTAAGAATGAAATGTCGGCACTTTTTCCAACAATTAATTTGATTTGTTCTATTAAAAGAAATAAATATAATAATAAATATAATAATAAATATAATAAAATAATATAATAAATAATATAATAAATAATATAATAATAATATATGTAAAACATAATATAATAAATATAAAAAATAATATAATAAATATCTACCATAAGCAGTTATTCCCCAACATTTCAAAATAACTAAAGACATTAAAACACCACCAACTGGATCAATCCACCATTTAATTTTTTCACCTAACAAATACATCATCAGACCAAATGTATTAAGGATAATATCATTTCGATGATCTTGAATGAGGATTTGAACAGAAGGAAATTGACGCTGAGACCAACAATACATTAATAAGATTGATTTGGAAACTACAGAATAAAATAAAAGATATGGATTATCACATGTTCAAGAATTAAAAGAATTAAATAATTCTTATTTATAATAAATAATTTGATAATAATAATAAATAATAATTTGATAATAATAATAATAACAATAATAAGGACATGATTACATAAAGCAATTGCAACACATATTATGGTATTTGAATGTAGTTCAACATTATGAGACTGACTGATAAGAACTTTGATAGCTTCAATCTATATTACATATATATATATATATATATACAGTATATTATTAGTATTTATAAAAAATAATGTTATAGCAATATATAATAATAATAATAATAATAATAATAATAAATATTTACAAAAAGTTGAATAGATAAAGCTGACATTAGTGTAGAGAAAACAATAATTCCCACTGTTTCCATTCTAGCTTTACCCTGAAAATAATAATAACAAATCATAACAGTAAACAATAATATTAATAACAAATAATAATAATAATAATAATAATAATAATAAAATAAATAAATAAACTACTTACTGTTGGATATTGTAATAAATTTTTTACATTTGCTGCTCTTCCTGTTAAAAATAAAATAAGATTTGATAATAAATCCATAAGTGAATCACCCATCATTGCAAAGATTGAAAGAGCTCCCGATGAAATTGTTGCATATAATAGTAGACAAAATAATATAATGTTGACAACTAATGATCCATTAACTGCTATTTTCACCTTAATTTTTTTATTGTAATTATAATAATAATAATAATAAGTTAAAAATAAATAAATAGATAAATCAATAAAATTTTATTTTATTTTTATTTAAATTACCCTCAACAACTTGGCTGTCAATTCATCCCCAGATAATCTTCGTTGATCTATTGGACTCAACAATTCATCAATGAGAACATTTTGTTCCCTATAAAAATTTTGAATTTTTTTCTTTTTCTTTTTTATTTCATCTTCCGATTTTCGTTTTAATTCTAAAGAAAGTGGGTCTCTTTCTACATAATAATCTGTAATGAAATGTGGTAATTGGGAAGGTGAAGAAGGGGAAGAAGAAGGGGAAGGAGAAGGGGGAATATTTCGAAGTGATAAATTTGATTCAGAATCATGAATTGAACTAGATATTGCTGTAGCTTCTCGGGTTTTAAAAGTTGACATTTTTTATTTTTGGAAAATAAAAATTAATTGAATTAACATCACATATGTAGATTATTATTATTTATAAAAGTATGTTATGTCTCACAAAATCGAGAATCTATCCAAAATTAAAAATCAGAATTTGTTACACTGATTTATAATAATAAATATAAAGTAATAATACTACACTATAATGCTTATCCTACTTTGAATAATTATTAAAATATTATTAAATATAATTACAAGCATAGAGAAGGGTATAGAAATATCTCTAAAGTAATATTTAATAGTAATCATAATTGACGATTTGGATCTAATTGACGATTTGGATCTAATTGATCACTTGAATCTAATTGACCACTTGGATCTAATTGATTACTTAAACCTGATTGACGAGAACCTAATTGACTACTTGGACCAAACATTGATTCAATTATTGGAAGAAGTTGTTGCCCAAAAGGTGTTCTAAAGAATTCTTCTGGAAGATCTAAAATTAAATAAATTAATTAATAACATATCTATATATATATTAATAAATGTATCTATATCAAAATTTAATAACTTACCAGTAATATGAGAAGGAATAGGTTTTCCCACTAAAAATTCGCACACTTCTTTTGTAAAGGTATTACAATTCCTATCTATCAGGTGATACTTTTCACCTGTATAATATTCTCTTATTTCATCAATATATTCTTCAAAAATTTCTTGAGGAACTTCTGTTTCTCCCATATCAATAATTTCTAGAGGAATTCCATGATGTGTTTGTCCCTTTTTTTTTTTTATGATTATATTGTTAAATTATAATTTATAATTAATAATTTTAATTATAATTTTATAATGATTATATTAATTATAATTTATAATTCATAATTTTAATTATAATTTTATAATGATTATAATAATAAATATAAATGATTATTATAAATAAATAGAAATGATTATTATAGATAATAACTGATTATTATAGATAAACTTACAGGTAATTCAAATAATATTCCATAACCAAAATAGTATTCTAATCCATAAACCACTATTGAAGTATGCCATATTCCCTCTATGTATATACATAAATATATATTATTATATTATTATTATATTATTTATAACAATTTTATTATTTTTTAAAAAAAATAAAATACCTAATTGTTGTCCCTTTTTAAAAAAAAATATGTTAATAATTTCGGAAAAAAAGAAAATTAGCCACATTTTTTTTTTCTAAAACAATAAAAAAGATTTTTTTTAAAAAAAAATATTTACCATAAGGTTTTGGAGAAAAGGTTTAGCCATTCCTCGAGTTAAATCATAAACGTATAATTTAACAGGTGCCATGATTGATGATTAATTATTAACCAAGAGGTAATGATTAAAGTTTATTTTTGTATTGAGAGAACAGAAGAAAAGAATCGAGAGGGAGTAAGAAAAAAGATTTTCGGTTTATATAATTTTTATTATATGATTGCGTTAAAGGGGAAACGTAATGTAACTTAGGTACGCGCAATCAAATACGTAATATATCGAGTCATTATTTTTTGTGTGATGGAACAAATAATGAATCACATGAATCTCTAATCGAAATTAAAATTAGTAATCAAACATTATCATCATAATATATTTTTTTTTAAAAAAAATGTTGGATCTGGAGGTAGCGAAACTTCTTATCTCGAAACTATTCATCACCATTTATCGTCATTTATCCTCATGGAAGAGATATCCTATAAAACAAAGATGAATCCTTAGGTAAAGCCTCTGAAATTCATAAAAACATATTGGTAAATAATTTATAGCAAAGAATGTGAAGGAAAATTGGCCATCGACAAAAATGGTCGCTCTCCTAATGCAAGTTATGCCTCACCTAATAAAAATAATTCACCAAATCCTAGAGCACGCATATTTGACCTGCGATTTCCACTTTCAAGTTATATCTAACAGAAAGATGTCGAGGAAAAAAATGCCCAGTAAAGTAAAAAAAAAAAATTTTTTTTTTTAATAAATATTTATAGTTTATTACTTCTTTTTTTTTAAAGATCCAACTTCAATAATAATATAATTATTAATATTGAAATCTTTTCTTTTAAAAAGAATTATAAGTAGAGAAAGGTCATAGAATTGGTAAACGAGATAAATGTGCAGAACTAAAATTATGATCTACAGTAAATCTATAAATAAATTTTATGATTTCACACTAACTTTAACTTTATCAAACTAACCTAAATTTTAAGTTTCGAAACAAATCAAATAATGTAATTAATCAACATGAGGCATCAAATATTTTTTAGATGTTTCATATGGTATTAAAAAATTATACATAAAATTCTCGTCATCAATAAAATTTGTACGTTAACTATCGTTCAAACTATTTCACACTCTTTTCATCTTTTTTTTCGTTCGTTATACTAGATATAATAACTTATACAACTTTACTGTGTAAAGTTTATCCTTCCCCCTTCCAGTTTAACAAAAAAGAAAAAAGAAAAATAAATATTATAAACAAAATATCAATAAATTTTTTATAATGAACACAGATTTTAAATTTCATGGATACTCATTATTATCATTTTTAAAAATATTTATTATTTGTTTATCATCGACACCATTTGTTTTCGCTGCCGAAAATGATAATTCAACGACTACCATCAACACCTCCACAAAGGATAAGGATGATAACCTAAAAGTTCAAGCCGCAAGTTTAGGAATAATATTAATAATAACTGGAATAACTTTTTGCTTCTTTGGAAGAAAAATATATCGTCTCACATTATTTTTGGTGGGATTTTATATTGGAGGTAAAAATCATCTTGATTATTATTATTATTATTATTATTATTATGTAAATTCGATGCGTAATCATTTAGATTTACTCTTTTTTTTTTTTTTTTTTGAAATTGTTGTAGTTATTATGACGTGGATGATATTAGAACCATCTAGAGAAGGAATGAAAGAATTTACGAGACTTACAATTATTTTAATTGTGAGCTTTGTCATTGGATTACTTATTGGAGGAATATTTGTATGTTGTTCAACTATAGCAATATGGTTTTTAGGAGTATTAGTTGGTTATACTTTAGCAATATTTATTTTATCTTGGATTTCCGCTTCTGCTTTTTCTCCTTCTACAAATGAACCTTCTTCAAATGGAATGGATCAAAAAAGTCAAATTTTAACTATAATCGCATTAACATTTATCGGATTTTTGTTAACTTGCCTTTTTGAAAATATAATTATTTTATTTGGAACATCATTTATTGGAGCATATTCAATTATTATAGGAATTGAAATATTCATCAAAACTGATTTTGTTAAAAATAACGAGAATTCAATTTCCGTAGTAAATGCAATATTAAATGGAAGAGCAATTTTGGATGGAAATAATTATGAAAAAAATACTTTATTATTAGTAGGAATGTTAATATTATTCATTTTAGGTGTCTTATATCAATATAATTTTAATATTGGAACATTTTATCCTAATGGTTTAAATCATACTCCTAAACCTAATTATTCTAAATTTTTTAAAGATAAAAAAAGGTTATCTTGGAATAACAACAAAATTGAAAATAATAATAATAATAATAATAATATAAACAACGTATAAAAAATAATTTAATAATTTTAATATATTTTAATAGATTTTTAATATATATATTTTTTTTTAAAGTATTAAAAAGGGGGGATAAAAAATAGTGAATAAAAAGAATGTAACATAAACTAAATTAAAAAATTAATCACAATGACAAAAATCATAACCCATGATTTTTTAAATTTTCGTGTGACTTTCTATGAATCACGAGCACGGAATTTTATTTTTTTTAATTAATCCGTCTTCTTGTTACATGGTAGTACGTATGGTGGCACAATTTTAAAATAGGGAAATCAACTTTTTTTCTCGAATGGAAGCATGACAATGATTCGAAAAAGAAATGATTTATGATTGTGGGAATAATTAAGATACGAATTATAAGCATAAATTTTTTTTATTCCAAAAAAGATTCCACATAGATTTAGACTGGCGTTACTTAGTTTCATAGTACAATGTATTTTTGTTTGTAAAAATCTCATGAAAGAAGAAAGATTAGTAGTAATAGTTGTATTAGTAGTATTAATTAATTAGTATTAACCTTGGCGTGTATTAGAAAAAACTTTTTACAATAAATTATTTGGGTATTAATAGTAAACACGAGACGATTCAAAATTAACCAAACTCCGAAAAAAAAAATTTTTTTGAATTTTTCATTTATCACATTCCATTCATTTAAATCTTAATTAAATCATAATTGTCTTATTTATTTAATTTCTTATTTTTGAAATAAAATGACTGACGCGAGTCATTTGCAAAAATTTATATTTTCATATTACCAATAAATAGATTACAAATTAAGATTTTTAATTATTTTTACTTTGTGTTTATTTGTGTTTATTTTATTATTTATTTTGTGTTCTTCGGAAATCTATTTTTATTGGTTATTCTCTTAATTTAAAGTCTAATTGCGAATTTGTGAATCGTAACCTTCCAATTGAATGATAATCACAATTATTATTTAAAAAGTTCCTTGAGAGAAAAAAAGGAAGAGATAAAAAATTCTTAATTCAATTTTTTTTTTTAAAAATTCTTTAAAATCCGTAATTTTTGTCAATTTATAACCAGATTTAAATCTATAATATAATAAATATATACTATAAAAATGGAATTTAAAATGGTAGATTATTTCAAAACAAGACGACATTCTAAATCAGAATACAAGAATTTTTACTTTTCAAATGATAATTCGGCAGAGACGAACAGAATACTTTTAACGCACCTCACATTAGAAACTGCTTTTAAAGGACTTTTCTGTACTCCAATTCATGATAAATTAAGGTCCGGTTCAAAAGTTCTTGATGTCGGGTAAGTTAAAACAATAAAAAAAAATACTTAAAAGGTATAAATTCTCGGGAAAATTTGAAAAATTGAAATTCTTATTTTTTTTTAGATGTGGACCACTTCTATGGAGTATCGAAATGGCTGAAGATTATCGTAATTCAAGTTTTTATGCAGTTGATAAAGAAGAACCTTCAATACCCGAACAAATAATACCGAAAAATGTTAAATTTATCAAAGCAAACTTGTTAGAAAATCTTCCGTTTGAAGATGACTTTTTTGATTACATATTTCTTAGAGATATTATTATGTGTTTTGAAGGATCTGATTTTGAAAATATTGTTCTCAAAGAAATTTTTCGTGTTTTAAAACCTGGAGGATATTTTGAGGTAAAATTGTTGCATTTAATTAATGCGTGTAATTCTGTTTGAATCCCGTTTGATTCTTTAAAAATTATCGTTTAATTGAATTTTTTTTTTATAATTTCCTTGACTTTTTATTATAGATCGTAGAAGCGGAACTGGAAGGATATGAACAAGGAGAAGCGCTAAATCGATGGAGTATCGAAGGATGTATGCATTACCATTTTTTTTTCTTATATTTTAATCTATTCAATTGTTATTACTAACTGTATAATTATATATATATCATCTATGTACCATTGATTCATCACCAAATACAACTTTAATACATCTTTTATCTTTTATAATAAAAGTTCAAACATGGGCGAAAGCCTGTAACATAGATTATAAACTTACCTTAAAACTTAAAGATATACTTTTAAAAACTAATCAAATTGAAGATTTAAAACATAATAAAATAACTTTACCTCTGGGAAATTGGGGTAATTATATTGTTGGACCATTCGCGGCCGAAACTACATTATGTTTCGTAAGAATGAACGAAGAACGTTTATGCCCTGTAATGGGAATAAGTGTTGATGAATATCGTGAATTGGTTAAACAAATTGAAGAAGAATTTAGTAGTAAAGATTATAGAGCTCATTTTTTTTATCATAATTTTATTGGTATTAAAAATTGAATTCTAATTTATTGTTATTATTAGTAAGATAATCAAAATTTGATGTAAATTCTTCTCTTTTCTCATTTATGTAAAGTTTTACATAAAATAATTTATTTGCCATTTTAAAAGAAAGAATATTTAGTAACCTCTGACAAAGTGAAAATTTTGATAATTTTATGCCTGAAACCGAACCAAGTTAATAATAAAATCCGACAGAATCGAATCCGAAATTGTTCGGTTTTTGGTTAAAGATAAAAAAGAATTTTATTATAAATAATATACATATATGTTGCTTTGGAATAGAAGATCAAAAAAGAACGTTTCAAAAATGGTATAAACGCATATATGTCTTTCTTAAATAAAGATTTTCTTCTTAAGATCAACATTATTTAATTCAATATAGCTGTGTTAAAGAAAAAAAAAAATAATTTAAATTTCTGGAAATTTACCTAAAAAAAAAAAAACAAAAAATAATATAAGAAATATTTACTCATTTGGTCTCTTGTTAATATTGCTCGCATTTTGCCGCTATAGGTTTCAGCGTTTTTAACCAATCTTTCGGATGATGTTTTGATAACTCCTTTAATCAACCGACCCACCCTGTCTTTATTTAAAGCTTTACTGACTTTACTATTGAGATGATTCATATCATTTGAATGACGCTCCCAATATGTCTGAACTGCTTGAATCGTATCTCCTATATCTTTCAAACCTTCATCCATTTTCTTTATAAGTTCGATTAATTCCTTTTGTTCCTGTTTTAATCTTTGATCGATGCCATAACCGTTGACATAATTAGTTACTAAAGCTTTTCCATCAACTATTGCCTTAGCTAAAACGTTTTGTTTTTTTATTAACTTTTTATAGAAGAATAATATATTCATAACATAACATAAACTGCTCACCTGATCCAAAAGCACACATAGCGCATGCACTTGGAACCAAAACGGGTGCAGCCGCAGCTGAAGCAGCTATAGCGGCACCGCCGATGAATGCTAGTGGTATGAAACTTACAATTCCTTCTTTATGAAATTCTCTTTCAATTTCATTAAATTTTCTTTCATCTTGAGTATCTGATTTCATCTTTTTTATATCTGTTTCCACTTCAATTCGATAATTCTGTAGTGAATTGTTGATTGCAATTAAGTTTCTTTTAATTTCGTTAACTTTATCGTTCATCTTCTTACATGAATCCGCATTTTTCCTAGCATCCTGGGATAAATCATTTAGTTCATCAAGAATATCTTCTATAGTAAGATCGTTAAAGTACTTAGAGAAATTCTCTAAATCACGAGCATAGGATGAAATTGCGTAACTTATTGTAATAGATTCTTCCGCGAATTCATGAAATTTAAAGCGTTCAACTTTAATTTTTTCCGTACTTTCATTAACATAAATATCTTTGGACGTTCTAATACAACTGGAAAGATTTTCAATACAAAACACCACATTCTTTTCCAATTCTCCAAAATCAAATGTTTCATTAGGAGAATTATTGGTTTCAGTACGTAATTCTTCGTTAGACATTATTTTTGAATTAAAAAATTTTTTTTTTGTTTCTGCAATGGTTTAAAAAAGAAATATTATGCGTTTAATTCTTGATATCAGATTACCTGCACATTAAATAAGACCTCTTCCAGAATTGCACCCTAAATTTCACAAAAAAGATTGTCATTTCCAAATTAATATGTAATTATCAAGAGGAAAATTTGAAAATTAAAATGTGTAACGAATATTTGTCAAATTCATTTAGATGCTTTTGAATGTGAATGTTACATTCACTTATTAAATATTCTGTCTGATTTTAATAAAGTGAGATTAAAATATTAAGTAGGTTAAATTGAAATTCGGAAACCTGAATATTCGAGTAAAAAAAAGATTTTTGCATAAAATATCGACGTAAATAGACTTAAGATATTTGATTACTTTTAAACTAAAAGAACTATAGTAATATCATCAATTTATTTTGGCCTTATAATTACATTTACAAGTCGATTTATTCGATTTAATAAACGTTTCTTTAATTCGATTATGCCACGTAAGAATTCTCCAAAATTTGAGGCATTGAATTTGGGGACAGTAGAAAGAAACATAAGCACCCTTTTTGACATGACATTACATTACATATAAATCCGAGTGAACAATAAAAATTTGCGGATGAATTGTGAGAAAAACTTTAATATATATATATATAGAAACAATGAAATCTTTAAAAAAAAGTCCCAACAAACTAGTTTTTTTTTTATTGGTTTATTGGCAGATTAGCACCAAATTTGTGGTTTTTCCCGTTGAAATTCTGATTGGTCAAATTATAAATTACTTTAAATTACTTTATCGTACTTACGCAGTTATCACGTTTATACCCAAGGGTATACGTATGATGTTACTAATTTGCTCACATGTCACAAAAACATATTAAAAATTTGTTCCAGTTTCGTTTCGTTTCTTTATAAATCAATCTCTAATTTATTAGTTTTGAATTCGTTAAAATGACTTTAATCGATGAAAATGACAAGCAATCTGTTCCAGGTATAATAAAGTCTTAAAAGTTCTTTCATATCATTTGTTATTGTTTTAGAAATATATTTAATTTAACAGCCATATATTTTTTCAGATTTGGAAGTAATGGGACATTCTATGGCTTCCACTCTTCAACAATTTTCAAAATTTAAAAATATTAAAATTAAAAATAGTACTGAAGTAACAAAGAGAATTGATGAAATTAATCAACAACGTCTTCGATTTAGGGAATTTGCTGGTGATTCCATTAGTCAAAGTAGCAAATTGGCGAGATATGCGGAAGGTAGGAATGATAAAGTAACCATTCACATTTTGATGACGTGGTTTCACTTATGTTAATTTTTTTATTATTTGTTTTTTAGATGTCATAGTTTTTGCCGAGTGTTGCGGAGATAATAGATTTTCTAAAGAAGATCTCTTGGAATTGTTGAAATTCCGTTTAGATAATGCTAAACAAAATAAAGCAACAACTGAAGAATTACAATTAAAGATTAAACATATTATAGAAGATTTAGGAGATATCAATGATCAATTAGTAATTTATACAGAAGATATTAAAAAGAATCCTAGATTACTTGATTCAGAGACGAAAAGTACGTTATCACGAAAAGAAGCTACCAAAGAAAAATTATCCGACACTGCAAAGGCAAATGCAGCCATCGCACTGGGAGGTTTAATTTGTTCTTGCATTGCTGCACCTTTTAGGTATATTCATAATCTTTAATACGTAGTTCTTTTCAAATTCTCTTTGAATTTCTTTTCAATTTTCCTTTTCAAATTTTTTTCTTAGTGGTGGAACTTCACTTATAGCACCAATCGCAGCGATTTGTGTTGATGCTGGTATATTTTTGACTACAGCAGGATCCTCTTTAGCCATAAGTACTAAATTATTAGCAAATTCTGAAAATAGTAATATCGCAAGTCTTGATAGAAAATTAAGATTAGAAAGAGATGGCTTGATTGAAAATATTCGTGAATCAAATAATGATATTCAAAGAATTAGGGAAACTTGTCGAAAATTTTCAATTTTTTGGCAAGAACAGATTGATTCAATCAATAATCTTATTAACAAACTTAGCTCTTTGAGTAATTTGGATGATGGAGAATTACGAAATATTAGGATGATTTCAGTTGGTATTTCGAAATCGTGGAAGAATGTGAGTAAAGAATGTAAAACATACAATCAAATTATGTGGTCTTTACTTGATAATGATGGAATTTTGAAAATTCAGGTAAATTATCAATTGTTATAATCTTTTTTTTTGCTAGTTATTTTTTTTTTTTTTTTGCATTTTGTATTTTATGACTGACTTTTATCGAAACTGTCGAAATTTTTAATTATTAGTAACGACATTCACAATATTTATAATATTTACAATATTTACCTTTGCCATATAGAGATATATATATTTTTTTTTTTTTGTTTTCTTGTTGCTTAATATAGCAAAGAATTATGCATTTCGTTTTATAATTATCATTTTTTAGATAAAGTCTGAGAATATTGTATTTCTTTTTTTCTTTTTCTTTTTTTTTAGTTATCAAATTCATTATTAAACCTTTTTTTATTGCAATAAATTTCCTTAATGATAAATTTTGTTAAGAATATAAATATGTTTACAATAAATAGCGATTTAAAAAGGGTTGGAAAAAGATTCCTGTAACATTGGCCATAAAGTGTCACCCGGATCAATTTTTACACTTGAAGTATGAAAGTGGCCAAGAACTCCATTAATTTCATTTTTTTGAAGTGTCCTAGCGACAACTTTTCCTTCAGAGTCTAAGGGAGGTAATTTCCTAGGTACATCTAAAATAGAACACAAAGCTTCCACAACCTCCACGACTCTTGTTTTTTGTTCTGGTCTAAAATCTAGATGTTTGTGAAACTTTCCTTGTTTATTGGGAGTTCTTGAGTTGACAATTTCTCGAGGCCAATTAGGATCATAATGTTTAACGTCATAAGGATTATTAATCTCAATTCCAACAGAATGATCATTGTCCGAGCCTGCGTGCCATGCTCTCTTGGCGAGATCCAAAGATTGATAAACTGTTCCATCATAATCAATCATTAAATGAATAGATAATCCTCGATCAACTAAAGCTTGAAAACAGTCTTTAGACGATTTAGCAACATCCCAATGCAAAATTATGCATTCAATTGATTTTCCTGTTGGATCAGATCGTTCGCCCCAATGTTTCGAGCGGTCTGGAGTATGAAAACTCATTCCACGTTGTTCGTCGCGAAAGTTAATTACAGGGAACGAAACACCGTATTCTTTTCCATTTAAAATCAATGTACCGTTTGTTTCTTGACTCATATTTTTTTCTTTGATTAAAAAAGAAAAAATTTATTATTATTTTAAATGCAAATTTTGAAACACTATCTTATTTTGCAAAAAAAAAAAAAATTTTTTTGAAGGTCATTTATTTTATTTACTTTATCTATTTTACAATTTCTTCAGAAGGAATGTAATAAGCTTCAAGGTCTTGAGCACTTCCCTATTTCCTTAGTGAATGGCAAAATAAAGGCAAAAAGTTTTTTAATCACTTTGTTTATTGTTGCACCTTTTTTAGCGAAAAAATGAATATGAATAGAGTCAGAATTGAAATTGAAACTATTCAAATTAAATTTATGTGCGTGATAATGACAATCCCCACTGGTGGGCTCTAGAAATACCCTCCAAATAAAGTAAGGATTGCGTTCTGAAATTAACCCTGTAAAGTAAGGATCGTTTGAAATTAAACCCGCCATTATCAATTTTCTTATTTTGTTCATTTTAAAAGATTTTTTTTACTCAATTTTTAAATCCGTTAAAAGATTTAAAATTATCTGAACTCGAGAATCGTCTTGTGAAATTTCCGGTCTTATATGTCTTATTGTGATTATTTATGGATTAAATCTTATCATCCGGATTTTCTCTAAGTTGTTCCCATTGTTATTTTTCTACTTCTGATTGTTTAAAAGCGCAAAAATTACGAAAATTTTATTCGACTGCAAGTATTTTTAGCATTAACATACGGATACTTTAGATATCATGTTTACCGGCATTTTGTAGCCAGTACAAACAAATATTCACTATCAATAATTCTTTGTTACAACAATGACAAATACAATTTAAGTAAATTTATAGCGAAATTTTCATAATATTTACAATTTTAAAATTCGGAACGGAGTTTTCCTTTTTATACTTTTATAACCTCAACCAAAATTGGCAATGTTACACAATGTTACAGAGGAGTTCGGCTTAGAAGATTCTTTAGAATTCTATGACAGAAAATTCTATAATAAGATTTATTTATCTCAATGGTATTTAAATTGGCTATGGTTTCCAATGTTAATTTTTATCGATTTTTTAATATAGTAAAATATGAAAGCAGCAATAAAATCGATAACCAAAGTTTCTCCAATAACTGGTTTTAAATTTCCAAAAACAACCAAAAAATTAGCTACTATTGACAAACGCAATAATGAGAATAACAATGATATCAATGCAAAGAATGTAAAGATCCCATCAATTACAAATGATCCTGATATTCCCGAAAATATAAAGGAAAAAGACACAACAACCTCTGATTTGTCTAAAAATCATAAACCAAATGAATTTAGTGAAAAAAAGAATGAATTCACCGAAAAAACAAATGAATTCAGTGAAAGAACGAATGAATTGACAGAAATTATAGAAAGAACAGAAACAACAGATGCAACAGAAACAACAGAAAAGACTGCAATGAATCAAATGACAGAAATGAATTCGTTCGTGTCAGACTCGAATAATAATACAGAAATTTTGATTATTGAAGATTCGTTTATTTCTGCGTCAGATACTAAAATAAATTCTAAAGATAAAAAATCAAAATCATTTGTGAGTAATCAACAGAACGACACAATACTTGAGATTATAGAAGAAGATGCCGAGCTTGACTTTAATATAAAATCGAAGTCTCTTAAAAAGGAAAAAGGAAAAGAAAAAGATAATACAGAAGAAATTCTAGAAGAATTTCAGTTAGAAATTGAAGAAAAGATGAATTCCGAAATGCTCAAACCCAATAAAGTTGAAAAGAAATATTTATTTATATCTGCAAGAATTTGGATTGGAATAATAAGTATTATTTCAATAGTATCAATTATAATCGGTAAGTTCAAAATGAAAAAAAATGATATAATTGTATTTTTTAAGCTTGATTTTTGTTGATATTCTTATATTTTCCTTTATGAAGGTTTAATTCTTATGCCACATAATTAAATTTATCAGTTATTCATGTACAAATTTTAAATATATTGATAGTTAAGAAATAATCATGTAAAATAACAATAAAATAACTTGTGGTTTAACATTTCATTTTCAAAAGTGATATAAGTAGTTTTTAGTTTGGAATAAACGCGTCGGTTTCATTTAATCACATGAATTCTATAACTGGACAAATGAAATTTTCTCAATAGAAAACTAGTGGTTAAGAACAAGATTATTGTATATGTTGTATATGATTCTATTTTATTCTAATAATTGTATATTTCATAAGGATAAAATAAAATAATAATGAATAGATTATAACTTGTTTTTTTTATGGGATGTTGGGTTCTATTTCGGGGGGTATCATTTCGTCTTGTTTGAAATATACATAAAAAATATCCACTTAACTAAAACGATTCAGTTATCGAAACTAAAGTGTAATATACTGTGCATGTGTCATTAATGTCGTTACAACATTCCCAATTTCGAAACATTCCAACCACATATGTTCCTCCAATAAGCAATAACACCCAAAAATTGTTTACCACCCTACAAATCAAGAAGCTCATCTAACCTTAATTTGTTTAATGATATAATGATATTTAGTAAATGTATGCTACACACGCTTAATAAGCACTTTAGAATTAAACTACAGTATAATGGAGTATAATGGATCGATAATAACAGAATATGTATATAATCGGTCAAAAAGTTAATATTCGGAAGATAATTATTTTATATGCATATCAGATATTGACCAAACAAATTAAATAAATTAGGTAACCAATCCAGAATAATCCCCATAACCAATCATAATAAGTAAGTCCCACATGAGATAATATTTGGAATTTTCATACGAATCGCGGAACAAGGGAAAAACAACAAATTGATACCAACTAGCATTTACCCCTTGAAATTATTTATTGAAATGATGACAAATAAATAATAAAAAAAGATGAATAATAATCAATATTCGACATTTCCATTTTATCGTAATATTACAATTTTAATATAAATGTTTCAAGTTTCTTTTATGTATATTCTTATCGAACCAATTGAATATTAAAGATTAATAAGATTACAATGGGTCGGATACATAACGATAATATTTACAAAAAGATAATTAAATATCGCGAAAAAATGCATAATGAATGATTAATATAATGTAAATGTAAATATTTTCCATATATGAACGCTTCAATTTGTTCAGTAGTTGAAGTGTTAGTTCAGTAGAAATGGAATAATTGTTAGGAAGTTGTATATTTATCTATTCTAAGTAATAAATAATCCATTTAATTAATGTAATTAATGTACAAATTGTTCAAATGTAATAATTGTTCGATTTGTTTGAATTTTTTGCAAATATTTCATGAGTCATTCGGGTGTATTTTTTATTTATCAAACCCACGAGGCTATAATATATGAATATAGGATTCTGAGGAAGAATCAGAATAATTAGATAACGATGTTTTAGTCTTCATTCCATAAATTCTTATAAAATTCATGCTCATTTTATATTGAGGACATCTTGCTTCTGCAGCAATATTCTGTATCATTTCGGAATACTCGTCATCATTCAATTTGAGAAGGTCTTTCATTATTGTTCTCGTTGAGTTAATTACATCTATAACCGTTATTGCTCCCTGTAATCATTCATTTAATTATTAATATTTTATATTATTATTATTATTATTATTATTATTTCAAATTCAAATAATTACCTCTGCTCCAAATTCTAAATCATAATTTCCTATTGGAAGCTGCTTTTCTAAAACAAATATTTCGCTTATTTGATTTGTTGTTTCTAAAAGTTTTGGTAGTCGACTTGCCATACATGTGTTGATTCCTCGTGAATTCATACATGATCTAACTTTTTATTTTTTAAAATAACAATTTCAATAAATTAGTTAAAAAAAAGGAATTAAAAATAATAAATAAAAATAATAAAAATAAAATATCTAATATTTACATTCATCAAAATATAATTTCGTTATGGGTCCAGCATTATTTATTATAAAATCAGGTTCTAATAACTGAAAAAAAAAGAGGAGTCAAACACATATAATTCATATATAGAGTAATTGTAAAAAATTGAATTTGTAATAAAAATTTACCTCAATCCAACCACCAGGCTTACACACTCTAACGATCTCTTCAATCGCGTCTTCCCATTGTTCTTCCGTGTATGCCAATGCTAACAGCCTTTGGTGAACATAATCAAATGTAAACTATTTACGAGAAGTAATAATGTTAATCATCAATCAAGATTTTATAAAAATGATAGAGAGTATTATATATGTTTTATGAATTACATTGGGAAACCTGTAAATCATTATAATAAAAAAATTAATATTTCAGATATTAGAAAAGAAGGATGTGTACTTTTTTTTTTTAGAAAACGTACGGTATTCCTTCCAATAAATTATATTCCATAAATCCAACATTTGGTGGACTCCTTATAATATTAAACATGGGCGATATATCTATTCCCATGAAAGTTGATAATGGATAATCCTTCGCACAGTCAACAATATATGCGCCTGGTCCGCAGCTATAAAAAAAAATTACGTGAATATTTAATTCGCGAAATATATATTTTTTATGCACATATTTTTTTATCTTGTGAAAAAGGTAACTCACCCTAGATCAAGAACATGTCCTCCTGTTTCTAAAATTTCAGCTACTGGAGCGCAAAAATTTCCTTGCCACATTTCTTTGTATAACACATTTTGTCTTTCCATTTTAATAGCTTCTAATTCATCATGAAAATATGGATAAGTCACACTTAGAAATCTTTCTATAGATCGGGGAGAATTTAACCCGGCAGAAGACAAAGAATCAATTGTTATTTTTTCCATCTCATTCTTGTAATTTCGATCATTCTTATCATTCTTTCCTTTAAATTTGTTGTTAAGTTTCCGGCGATTTGTAGATTTTGAATATGGAACGCCCATTATTCTAAAAGTAATTTACAAAAATAAAATTTATTTGAAATAAACAAACTTCTCGACATGAAAATTTCGATTGATTTATATATTAGAAATTGATTCGTTAATAAAAAGATTTACAACAGAAAAAATCTAAGAAATGCATCTAATTTAGCACAAAATAATAACGGATATTTATCCGAATTTAACCATATTTACTAAAGGAAAAATCTATATAATTTTTTCATAGTGAATTCTCAATAAGGATTAATTTATTTTTTTTCAATTTATGAAGTTAATAACAACCATAAGGGGGAGGGGGAGATGGAATGTCACGAAAATTATATTTTAATAAATCGATCTTTATGTTAAAATAAAATTTGAAATTTTGCATTTTAAATTTTTATTTTTAGAAGATAAATAATGTTCTTTTTTGAAGAAATTGAATCTTCTAAGCAAATTATTCCATAAAAATGGTTCATTTTCTTTCTTCTTTTACCGTTAAATTTTTCGATCAAACTTCAATGTTAATTATTTAAATTAATCAATAAATTTGATACTTAAATTTTATTAAACATATAACTGTTAAACTACTTTTTTTTTTAAAATAAACTTTTTCCAACTTTTGGGTGACCAATGACGATTGATTTTCGGAAACTCCGTGATTTACGATTTGTGAAATCTTATAATCTATGATTACATTCTAATTTTTTTTTATTTTTATCTTTTTTATTTATTAAAGTATAAACATTACGAAATAAAAAAAAATAAAAATAAAAATAAAATTACAAAGATAATATTATGTCACAGATTAATGGTTTGTTATTTGGAGAATTCAAATTAATTATTCATATAAAATACATTACAATTATTTTAATAAATTTATCTTGGCATTTAATTAATTAATAATTATAAAATAAAAGTATCATCGTTGCACTCTTTGGACACAAAGTATAGCGCCGATTCTGTAGAATTTTGTCCGTTTAAAAACTATTTCCAATTTTTGGCATGTGGAACTTATCAATTATCCGAACCGGATCCCAATCTAACCACTAATGAAAATATTAATTCTGCTGACGAAGAAAAAATTATCCATGAACCTATAAAGAGATTAGGAAGATTATTATTATATAAAGTTGTAAATAAAGAAAATTCTTTGAAATTGTAGGGTATTTTCCATATAATCATAATGGCTATTAATTATTTTTTTTTTTGTCTTTATTTAATAATACATTGAATACTTATTTAATAATTAATTTAAACAAGGCAAGAAGTTCAAAGAATTGAGACTGCTGCTATACTTGACATGAAATGGTTAGTAATCAAAGATATTATAGTTTCGTTTAAATTAATCAAATCAAACACTAAAAAAGATATATATATATATATAATGAATGATACCAAGGTCTCATCGAATGATCGACGATAAATTTGTCCTGGCATTGGCAGATGCATCTGGGAAAATATGTTTGTACGGATTAAATCAGGATATTGTAAGAATTATTTTTAAGTTGTTCTTTTATTTACGGGATTAAATTTACGCTTCTCCTAACCTTAATACGAAAAAAAAAGACGCAATTTAACCAATTAAGTACTTGTGTCACAAATGAAGAAAAGTTATGTCTCTCTCTTGATTGGTCAAATCGTTTAAGGTAAATTTTAATATTAATTTTCTGAATTCGGTACGAATCCAAAAATTCTTTACCAATCATTAATTTATCGAATAGCAATAATGCATCGATAGTTGTTTCGCAAAGTGATGGTAACATTGTAGTAGTATCTATAGATAATCATATTGGAATTCTCGAGAAAAATCGATGGCACGCTCATGACTTTGAAGCATGGATTGCCGCTTTTAATTATTGGAATACAAATTTGATATATTCAGGTTAGTAAATAATATTAATAATATTTATTATTATTATTATTGTTATATACAAAAGGTGAATTATAGAATTATCATTTTCAATGAAATTTGAAAATTAGGTGGCGATGACAATTGTTTTAAAGGATGGGATTTGAGGATCAAGACTTCAACTTCTTTGTTTACAAATAGAAGGTTTAAGTTAATTTCAATATTTTATATCATTTGATTGAAAATTTCCTAATATAATAATACTTTATATTTTTATTCTAAGACATCAAGCTGGAGTTTGTAGTATACAATCTAATCCAAATTCAGAATATTATTTGTCTACTGGAAGGTATGAAGCTTTATTATATGATAATAAATTATAATCTATGATAATTTATAATAATTTATTATTATAGTTATGATGAAAATATCTTGCTTTGGGATACGAGATTAATGAACAAGCCAGTTTGCGAACATTTTGTTGCTGGTGGTGTATGGCGTTTAAAATGGCATCCAACAAGAAAAGATATTTTATTGGGTGCCTGTATGCATAATGGATTTCATGTGATCAAAGTGGGTGAGAATAATGGAAAAGGTACTTTATACAATAAACTTATTATAAAATTATTTAATTAATAAAGCTTATTATTTAAATTTATTAAAAATTATTCTTTATAGATTCTTTATCTATGAATAAAGTAACTTCTTTTATGAAACATCAATCCTTGGCTTATGGTGCTGACTGGTCTTATTATCATGAATCTTTGGTTGCAAGTTGCTCTTTTTATGATCATACTATACATATCTGGTAATTTTTTATTTATGTAATGATAATATTTGGCATTTTAGTAACTAACTTTAATTAAAACTTATTTATTACAGGGAAGCAAATTTGAATTAAAAAGTATTATAGTGAAATTTTAATCTAAAATTATTCAATATATTTAATACTTATTGTATTTCGAACGAATTGCATTATTTATTTAGTTATTTTTTTCTGGCATATATCTTTACCCATAATAGCGTTAAACTATAATTTAGAGAAATTCCGAATGTTTCAAATCTCTTCTATCGGATAAATTTGATTATTATTATGAAAATAACTACATTTAACCAGAGGGGAAATTCCCTTCACCCCTGTAATGCATTTTATTATCTATTTACGGGAATTCGATCACGTGAATAGGCGATCATCGCCTGTGAACTATCATATGATATTTCGCCCAATCAGCTTGCGTAAAAATACTTCTCACAAAAAAATAAAAAAATAATTTTATAAACAGGATTATTTGCTTTTTCATTGAATTTTATAGTTTATTTTTTTTGTCAATATTTATAAAGTTTATTTTATTTTCTCTTCAATATTCCAATACTCATTTTATGTTCTTTTTATTAATTCATTTACAATTAGTTTTCTATTTCCTGTTGTTTTATCATTTTCATTTTTTTCAAATATTTTGAAATTTATTAACTCACAATATTCATAAATTTTAAATCCATTCTTATCAAACATCTGTTGAAACTGTTTTCAAATATCAATTGTAAGTAATTTTCTTGGATTATATATTTGTTTGTGAAAAATATATTTATAAAGAAATATTTATTTACAAAAAAAAAATATTGATATTTAAGTAATATCAACACTAGTTAAAAATTTATAAATACTACACCTATTGGGTACCTGATAGATATAAGAGTAATGCATATTCATACACTTATCAGATACCCGATAAATATATTGGATACCTGATAGATATAATAAAATACTTTTTACACTTATCAGATACCTGATAAGTACACTCCCCTGCTAAAAGTATTGGACCACCTGAAAATTTTTAAAAAAATTACTAAAATTAAAATGCTAATTGTAACATAATGAGTGATCTAAATTGCACAAACATTTTTTTATTAGATTTCCCTAAACTAGAGCTATCATATGATATATTTTGTGATAAAATTGAACGTCTATACACAGAGAAATTATACTTCAAATAAAATTGACAAAAAATAATAAATTTAATCTTTGATCGTTACCCGCACCGGATTTGATTAATGTCAAAGATAAATGTCAACTATCTTAGATGAAATTGTAGCCAAAAACAATATCTACAACGTTTATTATGTGCACTTTTCATGATATCTAGTGAAAATTTTGACATCAATTAGACGTGAATAAAAAGGACCGAAATTTAATAAAATTTTAAAAAAATAAAAAAAAAATTCGAAAATAATTATGACGATCGTTTATACATGAAAATCTTGATTATTTATTAACTTAATAATAAATATGGCATTAAGTCATCTCAAAGTCTGAAATATGGAGGATAATACGTGATTAAACTTTAGAGTATAATTTTAAAACGTCCGATATTTAACCATTAATATTAAACCCAATTCTCAATTTAAAAATCTAAAACTTTTACAGTAGATGCTCCATATATTAAACTTTAACTGTACTTAGTAGCATTTTTATTGTTATATTAAGAGATAAATAAGTTTTATATATGGTAACGATTGATAATCATTTTCAGATTTTTTTTAAATTTTTTAAAAATGATCGACACGGGTTT